AACCGATGAATTTTTGACCTATTTCAACACTCCTTCCTCCTCCTCCCGCCTCCTGGCCGCCTCCACCCTGGCCCTCTCCGCCCTCACGGCCGCCAGCACCTCTCCTCCGCGGCTCAGCCGGATCTCCCGTCCCCTCCACCTCAGGTGCGTCGGCGGCTCCTCGGGCCCGTCGCCGAAGGCCAGGCTGGCGCTCAGCTCCTGCGCCAGCGCCGAGCGCAGCAGCCCGGCGCCGCCGAGCCGCGCGGGCGCCGGGTGGTAGAGCCGCCCGCTCTCGGGCAGCAGCGCCAGCGCCGCCGGCTCGAAGGGCACGGCCAGCGCCGCGCCGGCGCCGCACAGGGCCAGGCGGGCACCGGGCTGCGGGTCGGTGGGCACCGCCTCGGTGGGCTGCCCTACGATGGGCGCCACCTCGGTGGGCGGCCCCACGTTGGGCGCCACCTCGGTGGGCGGCCCCGCAGTGGGCGCCACCTCGATGGGATGCCCCACATTGGGCGCCACCTCGATGGGATGCCCCACATTGGGCGCCACCTCGATGGGATGCCCCACATTGGGCGCCACCTTGGTGGGCTGCCCTACGATGGGCGCCACCTCGGTGGGCACCGCCTCGGCGGGCAGCAGCTCGGTGAACACGGCGGGCACGTCGGCGCAGCGCAGGAAGTTGCGCTCGCCGCCGCAGCGCCACACGAAGGGGAAGCGCGCCTCGAAGCGCCCGCTGCGGTTCGGCTGCAGGCGGCCGAAGAACGACGAGAGGAAGGCGACGTCTGCAGAGAGAGGGGAAAAAATTGGGAATTTGGGGATTTTTGGAGATTTTTTGGGGATTTTTTTGGGGTGTTTTGGTGGTTTTTTTGGTGGTTTTTTACGGTTTTTTGGTAATTTTTTGGTGGTTTTTATGGGGATTTTTGGGATGGTTTTGGGGATTTTTTGGGGGTTTTTTCTGTTTTTTGGGGGTTTTATGGGGATTTTCTGGGGGTTTTTTTGGTGTTTTTTGGGGATTTTTTTGGGGATTTTTTTGGGATTTTTTGGGTGCTTTTTCAGATTTTTTGGAGGGATTTCTTGGGGTTTTTTAGGGATTTTTTTTATTTTTTTGGTGAGTTTTTTGGGATTTTTTTGGGGGATTTCTTGGGATTTTTTTGGGGGTTTTTTTGTGGTTTTTTTGGGATTTTTTTGCAGTTTTTTGTGGTTTTTTGGGGTTTTTTTGCTTTTTTTTGGTGATTCTTTTGCGGTTTTTTGGTGGGTTTTTTTGCACTTTTCGGGTGGTTTTTAGGGGTTTTTTTGTGATTTTTTTGGGGTGTTTTGCTGCTGATTTTGGGGTGTTTTGGTGCTGATTTTGGGCCGCAGCGCCACACGAAGGGGAAGCGCGCCTCGAAGCGCCCGCTGCGGTTCGGCTGCAGGCGGCCGAAGAACGACGACAGGAAGGCGACGTCT